GGTGTTTCCTACTTCCAGGTTGGCGCCGCGGTCACAGAGCAGCGCGACGGCTTCCTCTGACCCGCTCTCCACTGCGTAGTGAATCGGCTTCTTTCCAGCTGTTGGATTTCCGTCGGCTTCCTCTCCTGCATTCAGCGCCACTGTGATGCTCCGGCAATCGCCTTCTTTGACAGCGTCGATCTTTTGACAAAAAGGTGGAGTTTAGTTAAGATTTGGACGAACGAGTTGTCAGTGGTCGGTTAATTCATGTCAAATGGAGGAACGATTTTCAGGAAAATGGCAGTCTCGACAATGTTCACATCTAACAATGATTTGTGGTTTAATATACATTGTCTAACACACAGACACACACACATACACACACACGCACACACACACACACACCACACACACATTATATATATATATATATATATATATATATAATATATATATATATATAATATATATAATATATATGTGTGTGTGTGTGTGTGTGTGTGTGTGTGTGTGTGTGTCTGTGTGTGTGTGTGTCTATATAATATATATAATATATATATTATATATATATATATATATATATATATAATATATATATATACATATGTGTGTGTGTGTGTGTGTGTGTGTGTGTGTATAAGAGAGAGAAAGATGTATACATAAATATATAGATAGACGTGTGTGTGCGTGCGTGCGCAAGGTCTATATAAGTACTTAGATAGACCTTGTGCGTGCGTCGGTGCGTGAGTGCGTGTACGTCTTATCAACGATAACGGGATCTTCAATTATTGCAGATTCATCCTGCCTGATGCCAAAAGCGATGCCCTCAATTGTCTTACTGATTACCACTTATTTTTATCTGGATTACTATGGTGCTGTAGCAGACTGCCCTGGAATATCCGACGTAAGAAGAATGCATCTGGCTACTCGATAGAGGATTACCGCCCACTCCATTCCTGTCGCGCGAGAGGTGTCGCGTGTGCAGTAACCGCTGGAAAAGATGGCATATGTTCACCTTTACAGATTAGTATTATCACCACCTTCCCTTGGTACTGACTTGAAAAACACCGTATCTCGTCATGTAAAAGGAACGGTTTTTGTTCTGTATGTACTCTCGGATTATAAAGGTTATATATATAATAAAGGTAAAAGTCATGTCTTTAGCCTCCATAGAACTAATTTAGCCAATTTTCGTTGTTATTGAAAAACAATTCCTTAGTATTTCCGATAATTTTGTTCATATGCATAAAGATTCATCCATCCATACACGCATTAGTAATTTTCCCATAATTTTTTTTGTTTCCATATTAACTTTCTGTATGTAAATGGACAGCTTGTCACACTCACAAACCGGCCAAAGTGCGTGTCCATGCAAACAGCCATGGCGTCATCCGAAGGGGCAAGGCTAGATCAGTAGCAACTCGAGGTGTCATGGCGCCTGATTTTGATGACGTCACAAAAGTTGCGATTCTATTTTTGGAAAAAGCACGTTGGGTTTACTATTAATTTTGGCCTTTTCAGCTTTCAAGAAGGATGGAAAATAAATATTTTAATAGTTATATTTTCATTGAACAATCATCAAAATAGCCCTGCCGTTGAAGGAATTGAGTATACCTGCTTTTATAAGTACCTCCATGCACTGTAACTGAATGAAACCTATTATATTTATTGTGATGGATACCAGTCCGGGCTAATTTTAGAATAGAACATGTCTATAACTACATTTTATACAATATCCAACTGTTAAAATTTCAATTTTTCAGGCGTTTTTGACTTCATAGTGTCTTGTTAGTCTGGTATCCTACACATTAAAAAGATACCTTCCATTCATTCATTGAGTGCATGGAGGTATCAATAGAGGATTTTGGCTTGACTCTCACTTGGGAATCATTCATGCATAAACATAATCGTTAAACAGTTAAAGGCGCGGTTCACCTGGTCTTGTGTACGCGCAGGTCTGGCCCGAATCGCGTCATGGCGGGGTTCACCTGGTCTTGTTTGCGTTATTGAAGCGAGAGGCACGTCTATTACGGCGTTCAGCTTGCCTGCGATACTTGCGGAAAGCTTAACATTATGACGGAAACCTAAAAATTAGCTTAACATTCTGACGGAAACCTAAAAATTAACTGAAAAAGTGCTCGTGTGATGGGCCTTTACACACAGAAGAGATAAAGACATTTTCAAATCGTCTTGTGATTTACAAATCCGATTAAAGCCTAAAACGGTGAAATATGAACTTACAAGCATCGTGCGTATTTTCTTGTCACGTATATCGCTCCTTGTTTTGTTCCAGAATCCAGGAAGAAGGAAAGACAAAAATACAGCTCTCGTTGCCGTTAAGAAGAGGTGAAGACTGATGTAAGGGGTTGACGGGCGCTGATACGATATCTTGTGATAGGTTTATCTCTTCCTCTCTGTGTCACACTCACTCACTCACTCACTCACTCACTCTCTCTCTCACTCTCTCTCTCTCACCCTCTCTCTCTCTCTCTCTCTCTCTCTTTCTCTCTCTCTCTCTCTC